ATACACCTTTTGTGGAAGCCCAACTTAAAGCTTTTCGGAAGTCACTTATACCTTTTGTGAAAAAATAAATTCATCAAATTTACACCTTTTGCTTAAGGTTTTACCTTCTCGTGGAAGTGCTTATATTTTTTTTAAAAAGTTACTCCTTTTGTGTAAGAATTTTTGGCATAAAGTTTATACTTTTGTGGTTATATACTCTTTCACAAGAGGTGTAAGTTTGAAGAAAAGGTATAAATCTTATGCCAAAAATTCTTACACAAAAGGAGTAACTTTTCAAAAAAAAATATAAGCACTTCCACGAAAAGGTATAAGCTTAGGCAAAAGGTGCAAATTTGATGAATTTATTTTTTCACAAAAGGTATAAGTGACTTCCGAAATAGGTTTAAGTTGGGCTTTCACAAAAGGTGTCAGTTCGAAGAAAAAGTCCAAAGTATAAATCTTATGCCAACAATTCTTACACAAAAGGAGTAACTTTTCAACAATGGTGTAAACATTTTCACGAAAAGTATGAAGGAGTAACATTTCAAAGCGTTGATAACCAGAAAAGGAGTAACAAAGGGTTCATTTCAAAATGTTTGTAAACACAGAAGGAGTAACATATGTTCATTTGAAAGTAGTAAATACAGAAGGAGTAACATTTCGAAGTGTTCATAAACCCAATTGAGACAACCACTGAACAAATCAAAGGGTCGTGACCCCCGCTGACCACCCAAGCGTCGGTGGGCTCCGGTGCTCACAGCCTTCTGAGATCGATACCTCCACTGGCACCGCCGCCGCAAATCAAAGGTTTTTTGAAAGATTGGCTATCGATCTTGGTCTCTCTGTGTCGATGTCGGTCTCTCTCTATCGATCCCTGTTTATCTCGGTCTGTCTCCAGCGATCTTGGTCAGTCGGTGTCCATGTGGGTCTCTTCTCGGTCGATCTCTGTCGATTTCGGTCCCTCTGTCGATCAGTGTCCATCCAGGTCTCTATGTCTGTTGATCTCAGTCTATCTCTCTCTCTCTTTCTCTCTCTGTCCGTTGCTCTATATTAAAAACGGTTCTCTTTTACATTGACATACTTGGTTGGATTTGGGGTCGGAGTTGCTATTCCAAGCCCTCACAGACTCGTCTTCTCTGAAACGGAGTTCTACTAGGACAAAGGCCAAGCCCTCCGAAACGCCCTTCTCTCTCACATTGCCATTATCTGAACAAGACAAATACAGTGTGATTGGATTTTAGGAACTTACAAAAAAAAAGGAACTTGGACGTTTGCGAAGTTACTTACATCTCTTTGTGGCATAGATCTATACGTTTTCTCCGAACTTACACCTTTTGTGAAAGTCCAACTTAAAGCTTTTTGGAAGTCAGTTATACCATTTGTGAAAAAATAAATTCATCAAATTTACACATTTTGCTTAAGCTTATACCTTTTCGTGGAAGTGCTTATATTTTTTTTTGAAAACTTACTCATTTTGTGTAAGATTTTTTGGCATAACATTTGTACCTTTTCTTCGAACTTACACCTTTTGTGAAAGCCCAACTTAAAGGTTTGTCGGAAGTCAGTTATACCTTTTGTGGAAAGATAAATTCATCAAATTTACACCTTTTGCCTAAGCTTATACCTTTTAGTGGAAGTGCTTATATTTTTTTTGAAAAGTTACTCCTTTTGTGTAAGAATTTTTGGCATAACATTTATACCTTTTCTTTGGACCTACACCGTTTGTGGAAGGCCAACTTAAAGTTTTTTCGCTAGTCACTTATACCTTTTGTGAAAAGATAAATTCATTAAATTTACACCTTTTGCTTAAGCTTATACCTTTTCGTGGCAGTGCTTATAATTTTTTTTTGAAAAGTTACTCCTTTTGTGTAAGAATTTTTGGCATAAGATTTAAACCTTTTCTTCGAACTTACACCGTTTGTGGAAGGCCAACTTAAAGCTTTTTTACAAGTCACTTATACCTTTTGTGAAAAGATAAATTCATTAAATTTACACCTTTTGCTTAAGCTTATACCTTTTCGTGGACGTGCTTATATTTTTTTTGAAAGTTACTCCTTTTGTGTAAGAATTTTTGGCATAAGGTTTATACCTTTTCTTCGAACTTACACCGTTTGTGAAAGGCCAACTTAAAGCTTTTTCGCAAGTCACTTATACCTTTTGTGAAAAGATAAATTCATCAAATTTACACCTTTTGCTTAAGCTTATACGTTTTCGTGGAAGTGCTTATATTTTTTTTGAAAAGTTACTCTTTTTCTGTAAAAATTTTTGGCATAACTTTTATAGCTTTTCTTCGAACTTATACTATTTGTGGATGCCCAACTTAAAGCTTTTTCGCAAGTCAGTTATACCTTTTGTGAAAAAATAAATTCATCAAATTTACACCTTTTGCTTCGGCTTATACCTTTTCTTGAAACTGCTTATATTTTTCTTGAAAAGTTACTCCTTTTGTGAAATAATTTTTCTCATAAGATTTATACTTTTTCTTCAAACTTACACCTTCTGTGAAAGAGTATATAACCACAAAAGTATAAACTTTATGCCAAAAATTCTTACACAAAAGAAGTAACTTTTCGGCACGGTGTAATCATTTTCACGAAAATGTGTAAGTTTTAGCAAAATGTGTAAATTTGATGAATTTATCTTTTCACAAAAGGTATAAGTGACTTCCGAAAAAGTTTTAAGTTGGGCTTTCACAAAAACTGTCAGTTCGAAGAAAAAGTATAAATCTTATGACAAAAATTTCCGAAATAGGTTTAAGTTGGCCTTTCACAAAAGGTGTAAGTTCGAAGAAAAAGTATAAATCTCATGCCAACAATTCTTACACAAAAGCAGTAACTTTTCAAAAATGGTGTAAACATTTTCACGAAAAGTATGAAGGAGTAACATTTCAAAACGTTGATAACCAGAAAAGGAGTAACAAAGGGTTCATTTCAAAATGTTCGTAAACATAGAAGGAGTAACATATTAAATTATTCGAACATTAATTAGTAAATTTCCTGTAAATTCTCAGTAAATTATTCAACAACTTCTAAGTAAATTACTTAGTAAATTCCCAGCACAAATACAAATGACGAATGTGACTGTATGATGAACTGTGGGTGTGGAAATCAATGACAGTGGGCTAGTACTGATGGAAGGTACAATGCATGTGTGTTGGAAATGCCAAATAATGGACGATCAGGGGTACTGAACGGATGACTTGGTGCATGCAAGAAGGAACGAATTTTTGCAAGATGAATTCGGCCAGTTTGAGAAATTAATACGATGTATGTCACAATGCATGAGGTCTTCTGCAAACATACAAGTCATGTACCATATATTACAAATACTTACAGCATAGTGTTGTGTAATATTATGAATCTGTACATTCCTTTAAAAAAGTAGTCAGTAAAATAAACCATACACATATTCCTACAAAATGTCCGATTCGAACAAGATTGAAGCTATTGTTGAAGTTCATGTTGCTCCTGTATTCCAGCAGTTGCAAGCTATCTACGAAAGGCTGAATGGAGTGGAGACACGGTTGTCAAGTTTGGAGCGGCAAGTCGGCGCTATCAAGCAGAACGTTGATTGGCTGACCGATGACAAATTGGCTGCGGACGAAGCGAAGTCTGATAAGACAATGGATGAGGAGAGTCAATTAGACAGTACGGACAACTCTTCAGAAGACGCTGCTGATGATGCAGCAGATATGTAGATTTGATTTATTTTTTTTTTAACCTTCCTTGTAAGCCATGAAAGTTTTTTTTTTGCTGGAGTCATATGTGCTAATGGGCTGATATATAACTTACCTACGAAGAGTATTGAGTTTTCATTCATAATGTGGTTTCTTTCATTTTTGAAAATTAATTTTCCCTTTTTTGTAATTAAATTATAAATTAACTTCGGTTACAAAAGCAGCCGTAAATTATATACAGTTACAGTCGCATTCATCCGAACAAGAAACATGCGTAAACAAAATAGTACTAAGTCAGCAGCCACATCGACATATTTGATCCATGTTTACATCGACATGTTTGATCCATGTTTACAGTTGGTCCATATTTACATCGTCCAGCAAAAACAATACTGGGGACCCATAATTAACATCCATATTGAAATCAAAGAATAAAAAATTAGTTAAAGTCCTATTGCCACCCAAATTACTGGCGTACTGGCAGCCCATTCCCATCACTGGCCTAGCTTGTGGCATTGCTCATATGAAAGCACTCCCGGTACTCTGCGATCTTTGCATTATTGACATCCATAACGATGTCAACCAACAACTTATGATGCACAGAGGGAGCGAACTTTGTCCACAAAAATCGTAAGACAAATCAGTTAAAATTGGAGGACGTACGAGGAAGGATTTGATTGACAAATGGAAATTAAGCGGTAGAATATACCTTGTGTGGACCGAGGCTTAAATCAGGTTGCTTCATGAATTTGATGACGAACATCCCACAGTCAAACGTGCTACAAAAATAATTTCACATTAAAGTTGTCGTCAATACGTAATAGGTTCATTAAGTCAGTCATGCAGCTTAGACATTAATGTGAGGGAGGGATTGTGGATTACTCGTCCAGTTGTTGTACTGGCCTCTCGTCTAACATGCAGCGGTGGAAGGTACGCACGTCTGTAACATAATCATTTCCAAAGTGTAGTTGCAGCAAGTCGTGCATAGTTTCAACCTGTTCCACAAGGTTGAAGTTGGTTTACGTAAAGGATGTTCAAGTTTTTTGTAGTGTTCAGAAATGCACCAGAAGGACATACCAAAATTTTAGCTGCATTTAGCTTCCTTTTGTTCGGTCGGTTGGATGGGACCGAGTCAAATAGGTAGGCTACACGGTCCACCATATCAATTTTAACGCACAACCAATGCACTCCTCTGTAATTGAAAGGCACGTAAATCTACACGAAAACACAACGGCAGACCTTGTTTAGAGGCCATGCAAACATGTAATGGCTTTCATATTTTCGTTTTAATATAACGGGATGAACATTGATATTACCCTCTAGCATGCATCAATCGCACCAGTGTATCTGTCATGTCCGAAAAATGATGTGACGATATTTTCATGGTGCAGAGGTTGCGTATCTTTATTTAGAATCAAAGTCTGCATGTGTAATGCGTAAAGGTCATTGACGGAAACATTTGTCAAAATATGTCATACACAATACACAACGTAGCTTTAAACACTTACTTACCGACAGATATACGGGAAAGAACCAATCAGTGTGCCTCCCGTCATTGTGTAAATCCCTCTGTCGATTAGTCAATTGCACCACCACCAAGTTGATTGGCTGGAACATTGTATGCAAGACACAAGGCAAGTTGATTAGAAAGGTTTCTGAGTTAGGGGTACTGAAAAACGCAGATTCATATTTGTGCAGCCAACACTTACAGTGTCGGATAGCCACGACCCTGGTTTGAGCGTGCGCATGTCACGCCGGGTGCCAACTTCACATGCCCGTCCATGAAGATTCATGGAAACAACAATGTCCCTACAAGCAATAAATGATCCTTAGAACGATAGTTATTTCACAGTGGACTGTCATTGAAAATTTGCAAGTAGTAAATGAAACAATACATTTCATTTTTGCTATCGTCAAATACATAGTGAAGAAGTTTTTGTTCCTCCGCCGATAACAACCCTTCGCTGTCCAACATCGTCAACGAGTCCTACAAAAATAAACAGCCAACTAACAGTACACAGTTCATAAAAATATTGAAGCTTATATTACAAGGTCTGTAGTCATAAAAAAAAACGTGAAATGATGTAAAAACTGTGAGCCTCAGAGTTTTCCCAACTTGTGATGTTTGGTGTGGAGTTTGTTAGAAATGTGTACTACCATATGGCAGCAGTCATAACTGCAAACATGCAATTCTTTGACAACTAGTACAATACAACACAGATGATTGTAAAATTACTGATTCACATTATTGATGTGGGCATGAATTGGGTATTCACAACTTGTGGGGCATTAAAGGCAGTATTTGTACCTTGTTCACGTTGTCCACACCATCAACATCCATAGGTGAACTACTGTCGTCAACTCCACTATTTGTTTTGCTATCGATGCACAATTGCATATCCCCGACCTCAGTGGCTTGAACTCCACTTTCGCACATTTTTCCTTTTCCTTTTCCTTTTCGTCTTCCCTTTGCACTTCCTCTAACGATTACAGTTGCTCCCAATGGTTTGCCAAGCTTAGTAGGAGAAGTATGCACATCGCACGCCACGTTCTTCACGCCCACTGACTGAAGGTCAGGACTGTATTTATCTTCAGTTTCATATGTTTCCCCTGACTGAAGGCCTCCCTTCTTGTTGTTGTCCCCACCTTCTTCGATGTTCAGCTTATGCCCATCATGCAAATGACTTTTGTCCCTTGCCAAGGTTCCCTTCAAAATATGTTGTTGGTGATCCACCCCTTGTACATCTGAAATATTACACTCCATTGGGTTAACTTCGTCCGATGGTTTGACCACGCCATCCTCATGCGCCTCAACTCCAACAGCAGGGTCCACACCCTGTTTGGCCACGCCTGCCGGTTGCGGTGTAGAGAATATACCTTCGATGAGGTGGTGTAGCATTTGCTTCAGTTCACGTAAATTGGTTTGTTCAGTGAACGGTTCGTTGCAGCCCAAACTGAAACGTTGAAGCAGTTGCTTCAGCATGTCCTTCAGTTGAGCAACATTGGAGGAGAGGTTAATGATACACACATCATTGCCTTCCACCTAATTATACATACACATTCGTGAACTTAGTCTTACAAACCATCTTCAAATGATGTGGCTCAACTGTGTGAAAATTGCGTAATGCTTGGATGGATTACCTTGTCATTGCGAACAACTTGCTTGCCTTCGAAATGTCGCAACATCTCCATTAAATCTGTTTGGTTGTGGAGAACTTGCTTCATCATTTCCTTCAGTTCACGAATGTCGGACTCCAAATTGCTCATACGGACTTCATTGTACTGTCCTGTTTGTTGGTTCTCGACATGGCATGCATCCATGTCAGCATCATCGGCATCGCTTTCGTCGTTACTGTAATCAAACTCCACCTAATCATAGAAACGCATAAATGAAGTCTGACATTGTATGTTGAAGACAAGTGGGTCGATGGTGTGAAATGTGCACAGTGGTAGGAGTGCTTACCGCAATTGTTGGGAAATTTTGCTTCCTTCTGATACGTCGCAGCGTCTCCCGTATTTGGGTATCACCCCAATAATGAAGCCGAGGTGTGGACCGCGTCGTAGTCGAGCTCAGACAAACACAATCAAGGTACAACAGCTGTGGACATTAAGGGGCATACCATAATTAAGTTGTTCTTCCCACAGAAATGAACTATATTCAGTAACAATGACATTCATTATTCTCAATTTTGCAGTGGAACGTACATAGCATACCGATTTTGTTGAGGATGCTGTCAACTTTATAGGCACATATCATGCAATGTTTTTTGGGGAAAAAATTGTACAGCACACCAAGGACTTTATTGATGAAACCAAGAAAAAAAATTTATGTACATGTTCCCCTCTTCGCAACGTAGTTTTAATTGGTTCCTCCATTGAGGTTCAGCATACTTTTTGCCCTGTACTCTTTGTTCTTAAATTCATGACGGTAGTCACACAAAATTTATTTCTGCAAGTACCATACTTGGTCAGGAAGAGTGCTGTTTGTCGTACTCACAAAGCAGGTACCATTGTATGTCCCAATCAAGGCCAATTTGTTGAACCATGACAGAACAATGCATGAAACACATGAAGGGGGGAATGGAAAAAAAAAATTCAAGGTATTGGCATACCATTAGCAGGAAAACACATCCAGTTGCACCGCGATGACCTTTATACTTGCGAACACCGTTGTGAAGGAATTGCAGTGTCAACTTTGCCCAATTACAAGCTCGCATACGATTCACGTCCTTCACGGCATGAATGAACGATGGCTTCAACCCGGTCATTGTGGTAGGACACAACATGGCCCCCAACACGTACAGCGCAAATTTCCGCCGAAACTCGTCCTCCGCACCAGCAGTCTCGGTCAGATAAAGTCTCAACTTGTTCAAAGGAATGACTCCGTTAACAACTCCAACCTCATCGTAGATATTGGGATATGCTTCCAATGACCCAGCCAACTGCACGTCATCGCCTTCACACCGTATTCCCAATAAAACATTAACTGCCTTACACGTGAGCCTGACTTGACAACCATGAACATTCAATGAACTACTGTCAGGATCGAAGTTCTGTACCAACCATGCGCACAAGTCGTGATCTATACGTGTACACTTCATCCCCAGGAGGCCAGCAAACCCAATGTCAATGACTGCCTGCTTTTGTGCTTCGTTGAACCGGTTAACTAGCTCAACAATTGACTTCAATGATATGCGGAGTTGCCTTTTACCCTGCACATTTTTTACCCTTAAATTAATACAAAAATACAACCAACAATGTCAGCAAAGCAGGACCTAGCCAAATGCATTTACGAAAACATGAAGTACGTAATGACCTTTTCAGACTTCGGTGCACATGGTACTACTTTGGCGTGTTCCTCAGCGCTCGCCTTAGCCATTTCGACAAACCTCTTTTTCTCATCAGAGGGGAGTGCCTTCCACCTTTCCCCAATCTCCTTTCTAGTCTTTAACCAAGAAAATGACAGACGTACAAGACAAGTAACAACTATGAGTCCGAAATTACTGTAACTACAACTTTATGCCAAACGCAATCCGCGTGCATTGTTGCTAATTAAATAAGATTGCAAATACAAATAACAGTTGCAGCAAAAAGTCAGCGACAAAACGTAGCTGGACTTTTACAACGAATTGAAATTTACAAAAACAATAGGAAGGTGACATTATTACATGCTACAATCCTACAAACGCGAAACAATCACAAGCCCACTACGACCATTCAATACAACGTGTGGATAGCAACCCAGCGATGTGTTTCCATCATACTGTATTATAGAGAATACAGATTTCAACACTCACCATTTTTCGTCGAGTGTTGTCTGGCCCTTGCATTTCCTTGAATTGTTGCTGGCTGCATGCAAGCATCGTCAAGCTTATCATCACTAAATGTGAAAAATAAATACATATATATATATATATATATATATACAAGTTTTTATGTCAAGTTGGCGAATCCAAGGTTTGGTGGTATATTATCATCCTTTCCTCCTTGACTTTCCAATCTCCTTTTGCTTGAGACACAACGAGGTTCGAATCCCCAATGACGACCACTCGTCTTGCCCCTAATTCCAGGGCTGAATAGGAACTCTTCCCTCTGCTAACCGAAATGGACCCAATAGGAACTGTTCTGTACTCGATTTTTTGTATTTTCTCCCTTCCGAATAGGAAGTCTTCCCTCTGCTATCAGTGCTGCAAGTTGAACATAGGTATGATAGTAGTTAGCAACAAGCATAAAAGGTGTTCTGCATTTACATGGCCAACTTGTTAGGTTATATATAACCAAAAAAGACTTAAATTTTTTTTTGTGTAATGTTGGCACGGGAAAAACAATTTTTTTTTTTTCGAGTAGCCAAAAAAGCAAAAATAAGAAACTCGATAAACGAACAATGACTAATCTTGTTTCCGCAACAGGTAGCACACTCGGTTGAATTGTGCTTTAAATTTTGTTGTACTCGGTGATTTTATATTGCCGGAACTTATGTTTAGAAACAATCTGTGGTACACGGACTCTTCAAAATAGATCAAATACCCGTGTCGGACACCTGAGAGTCGGACAAGGGTATGGGATATGTGTCGGATACTTTTCAACGGACACTTCTTATATAATTGTATAAAACACAATTATTATATGTGCAAATTATTGTGAAATTACTATAAATGTGATTTTGACACCGTGAGTTACATATAGTACCATTTTATGGCACATATTAGATTAAAAATATGATATTTTTTCCCCACACCGTGTACCATTGAATGTAGGGTTAAGATTTAATGAGTCGGACCTGTACATACATACTGCACCTGGGACCCGTACCCGAGTCCGTGTAACACAGTAACCAACTCTTTCTTTCAGTGCTGAAGTTCATGCATAGTTGACGGTATTCAACTTAAAACATAGGAAAGCCAATTGAAAGAGTTGAAATGAGGATGACGATTTCCAAATTTTGTAGAGAGCTATTCGTTCCCACACCCAATTCTGAATCAAGAGTTGAAGCATTCACTTTCATGGCTAGCCTTTCCAACAACTTAAGTGGCCGGAGACGATGGCTGAAAACCAATACCTTCTCCCCACCTGAGTCGGAGAACCCTAACAGATTAAGGAAGAAGTTTGCCTTCAGTCCTTGTCTAATATCCAACTTTTCTAAGATGTGGTCCATCCGGGCATCGTCAATGCCCTCTGTTTCTGTGGTTGACGTGTCTGTAGGTGAACTCTTTAGGAGGTAGTTAAGAAGTTGAACATCACCTCGGATGGGAGCACACTGTATGTGCATGCACAGTTGAGATCCCTCCTAAAGAGTTCACCTACAGACACGTCAACCACGGAAACAGAGGGCATTGACGATGCCCGGATGGACCACATCTTAGAAAAGTTGGATATTAGACAAGGACTGAAGGCAAACTTCTTCCTTAATCTGTTAGGGTTGTCCGACTCAGGTGGGGAGAAGGTATTGGTTTTCAGCCATCGTCTCCGGCCACTTAAGTTGTTGGCAAGGCCAGCCACCAAGTTGAGGGCTTCAATTTCCTACTGAGCAACTTGGTTGTAGAGAATCGAGGTGGGTCAATCCTGGCCCATGCTCCATTACCTTCGGGTGCTCAGACAGTGGGCAGATCAGAAAAGAATACTTTTTCGGGCGTACAAACAAGTTTCATCAATTGTATGTGACAATGAAACAAGCAAGACTGCCACTGCCTGCCAAAAAATATTACTAACGTACCCATCCATTCTCATTCTGCACGAAGGTCATAAAAAAGACAAATAAGAGTACGCATTCATGAACTCGCTCAATAAAGTCCAGACAGCCCGCAACTCATGAATGACAGCTACCTTCCTCTTCAAATGTAACTGCTGTATATATATGCAAGATGATAACTTCAATAGAAAGGTAACCGTCATTCAAAAGTTGCGTGCAATGACAGGCAAGGTTATCCATTTCTACAAATTAGATTTTCTTCGTGAATTGCCAGGGCTTGTTGACCTCTCTGAATTTCTTCACGTCACCCTTACGACAGTTCGTGAAGTTGAAAAGCTGAACAACTTCGTTAAGCAGTTGAACATCACCTGGGATGGGAGCACACTGTATGTGCACGCACAGTTGAGATCCCTCATAAAGATTTCACCTACAGATACATCAACCACAGAAACAGAGGGCATTGACGATGCCCGGATGGACCACATCTTAGAAAAGTTGGATATTAGACAATGACTGAAGCCAAACTTCTTCCTTAATCTGTTAGGGTTGTCCGACTCAGGTGGGGAGAAGGTATTGGTTTTCAGCCATCGTCTCCGGCCACTTAAGTTGTTGGAAAGGCTAGCCATGAAAGTGAATGCTTCAACTCTTGATTCAGAATTGGGTGTGGGAACGAATAGCTCTCTACAAAATTTGGAAATCGTCATCCTCATTTCAACTCTTTCAATTGGCTTTCCTATGTTTTAAGTTGAATACCGTCAACTATGCATGAACTTCAGCACTGAAAGAAAGAGTTGGTTACTGTGTTACACGGACTCGGGTACGGGTCCCAGGTGCAGTATGTATGTACAGGTCCGACTCATTAAATCTTAACCCTACATTCAATGGTACTAAGTGTGGGGAAAAAATATCATATTTTTAATCTAATATGTGCCATAAAATGGTAAATTTGTGCAAAACAAATAACACAAACACAAAAGTACAAGGGCTGCTGTAAGAATTGATCCGGAAAAAAATCAGCGTATTCCTTGGTGATGGATTTCGTTTGTTTACAAACATATGTACGAAACCAACTGGTAGCAAGTCTTTAAGGAGAAAACTAACATTGTTGGTGCGAGGTGACCAATATCCATCAGATGCAATGACGACAACTCCTGCAAAGTATTGCAATCAATATTTACAAGAACACAAACAAACGGCTGCAACATGTGGCTGTTAACCTTAAAATTTTGCGTAAACACAGACAACAACACGCAGAATTTCCCAACACATACAGATTTTGAAACAGACAAAAGAAAGGGCACACATCAAGATTTTGCATTTCGTTCACACAGCTTACAATTAAAACAATTATGTGTACAAGCGATAAATGCATAATTTCCCAAATATTGAAGAGGAAGGACTACATTGTGTTTTTCATTTAGGGCTGAAGGACTACACGCACATACTTTTATGAAGGCCCGACTACAAAGGACAAAGAAGCAACTGAACTATTTCATGACGGGGTTAAACAATCAGGACACGATTCTTCTGTGACAGAAATTGGTGCTCATCCCAGGCACAAAAACCAGATGAAACCCCATCCATCAAGTTCAGGGCTTCAATTTTCTACTGAGCAACTTGGTTG